CCCCCCCCCCCCACAGTGGGTGGAGAAGGTTCGGGGCCCACGTGACATCTGCCGGGAGGGGCGTCCCGCTGCCCCTGCCGCAGCACTGTCTGTAGTCCCCCCGTACCCGGTCTCCCAGGGGCACAACCGGAAGGTCAGGCTGGCTGAATGGACCCGCTCGGGCAGGCAGGGGCCTGGGAAGGGGCATGTGTGGCTAAGACCCGCTCCCGGAGGCAGAGAAAGGTGGGGACCCCGTGAGACGAGCTGTGCTGTCAGACCCACGGCTACTTCTATGCTCCTGATGCTGGAGAACGGAGGCAGCGTCACCAAACACAGGAACAGGGCTGCAGGATGAGCCTGCTTCTACAGGGCCAAGCTGGACGCCTGGCCTCAGGACGTACTGGGCCCAGTACTGCCTCTCAGTCTCTCGTGAGTCAGGCTAACGGGAGTCAGTCCCCTCGTGTTGGAGCATTCCTGGGTTATACCAGCAAGACTGGGTGGGGCAGGGAGGACTTCTGGTAAAAAAAGCAGCTGGCGAAGAACAGGCCTATGGGACCAAGCGCGCTCACCACCCACGCGCTAAAGTACGTGTACAAGACACGTGTACCCGAGAGGGTGCGTTCAGCAGTTTGTAATGGCAACATACATACATACGTGTGCACACGTGTGCACGGGTGGAATGCGTGTACACGAACAAGACGAACGTGGCATCATCCCGACACAACAGTCGGCTAGTCTTTACTGATCCCATGGCGGGAACTTTCGAGGTGACCGCAGGTCACTCCCGCTTACAGATAGGAACCTGGAATCCAGAGAGAAACTGCACGAGTCTGCAGAGCCGAGCAGCCAGGACGCTCTGCCGCCACGAGGGCGAGCTAGGACCACGTGCACGGGATGCCGCCAAGGCAGGGCGTGGAGAATTGCCAAGCCCACGGCGACAGCCGAGTCCCGTCTTTGGAAACGTGTCCGTCCAGTTGTGCACAGAAACAGATCTGGAGGACTTAAACCCGATCCTGAGGGTGGCTACTTCTGGGGGGTGGGATTCCAGGCAACTGTCAATTTCTCGGTGTTTCTCTCCTGTTTCTTTTCGTCCTATTTTATACATTTTCAAAAAGCAGTAAGGCAGATGAGGCCACTGGCCAGGCCACTGCAGGGGACGCGCAGGCACCAAGGCGCCCCGGGGGCCTCCCTGGCCCCCACGGTGGGTACATTTCCACCATGGTTACAGGGACTGGGGTCTCTGGGGTCTTTTAGGGACGTGCCCATCTTAGTCACCTGCTGACTCTATTTGTGACCCTCTGCAGTTTCCTGGTTTCTTTCTGAAAAGCAATGATTCGGCCTCTGGATAAGTACTAATGAAATTTTCCTCTGAATATAAAAAGTATCCTTTTAACAAGGGGAACTTGGGCACGTTCAGACGTTCCATGTTACAGCGTGCGGACAGGACGTCTTAGAGGTCTGTCTGAAGGACGAAACCGTTGTGTTTTTAGGGATTGTGCTCTTTGTCTATCACCAGAAAGAACCAGCAGCCGAGAAGGACGTGAAGAGCCGTCCTGGCCGCCCTCTGTCCCGGGCCGGGCATAGCTGGGCAGCGTGGACGCCCGGGGTGCAGCCCGTTGCCTTACTTGGGAGGGCCCGACTCAGAGCCCAGAGCCTCTGGCCCGGGTGGGCGCCTGCCCGGCCACACAGTCCTCGTCCCTGCCTGCAGGGGGCAGTGCTGGTCCAGCAGAAACAGTCCTGCTGGCAGGTGTCACCGTGCTCCCTCAGGGGTGGGGCAGGGAGGACAGCTGGATCCAGAGGGCGAGACCCGGAGGCTGCCTGAGCTGTCCCGACTGTGCCCACAAGCCTCACAGCCGAGGCCCCACCTGAAGCTTCGGTTCATAGAAGGGCGGGTGAGAAAGCACGAGGTCGCGGTCTCTGCTGACCATGGATGGGAAGCTACCCGGCCTGCCGGCCACGGTGGCCTGTGGGTGGGCGGTCTCTGGAGGAAGCGGGTTCTCCAGCAAAGGGGAGATGGGCTTTGGCACCCAGGAGAGACCGCAGCATCAGAGAAGGGGGTGGGGAGCCTCAGTGACCAACCCAGCCAGTCCCCCAGCCAGGGCTCTGCCCAGGCGCAGATCAGACCAGGTCAGGGGTATCCCCTCGCCCTCCGGACAGTGCGGCCCGGGGCGGGCCTCCTGCGTCTGCTCCGGCTGCGCCCCAGTCTTGCCCGCAGGTGCCGGTCGGCCGCCCCAACCCACACGCCCCCGTGCACGGTACCTGTGGTGAACCTCGGTTTGGTGGGGGGCTCCTGCACGGACATGGGGAAGGTGGCAGACGCCGGGGACGACTGCGCCCGGGACAGAGGCCGGTGGCCGCCGAAGGACACGGGGATGCCGGCCGCTTCCATGGACGCCTGGTAGTTCCTCAGCTGGTGGATACGCTGCTGTTCCAGTAGGAGGGCTTGCTGGCGGGGGGGGGGGAGAAGACACAGGTTCTTGTTGCCCCCACGTCACCTGCCCCCTCCCCGGCTGAAGGGCTACACGGATCTCTTCTCTAACGGCTCTGGGCACCCGCATGCAGCGCACAGTTCAGGAACTCGCTGGGGCGGCTGCCAGGACGGGCTGCCTGGTGCCCGAGGAGTCCCCACCTGCAGGCAGCCCTCCCGGGCGAGTCTGCTGTGCTCTTGCTCTGACCAAGAGTCCCTGATGCGCAGCCAGAGACGTGAGAGAAGAGCACGCCTCAGGGTGGAACGGCTGACTCTTCCATTTGCCACGTTTGCTCCCCGGCCTCCTGGCGTCCCACACCCCGGCCCGAGGGCAGAAAGGCTCCACTGAGGCAAAGAAATGTTCTGTTCAGGTTCCAGGTGCCCGGGGCTCGGCCGACCGACCGGGTGTCAGGGAGCAGGGATGGGCGGATGTGCCTCTCTGAGGACGGGTGGGGACCCAGATGGACAATGCCCAGGACCCCACGTTGGCTGCCTTCCAGCAAAAATAACCAGAAGAAAAAGGAGGTGAAGCAATTAAACATACTTTCACAAACGCCTCTTTTTCACAAAACTGTATTTTTAGGAGTCGGCTTTGATAAGGGCTCAATACCACAAGGGCCCCAAATGGGCAGCGTGGTGTGGGCACTGCCGGCCAGCCGGGCTCACTGATGCCAGGAGTCTGCACGACAGAAGAGGCAGCCCCTCCCCTTGTCCAGACCGCCCCTTGTCCAGACCGCCTCTGTGGGGCGGCGCTTTGGTGCCCGGGGTGCTGATAACGTGGACCCAGAAGCCACAGAGGGACCCCCTCCGAAGGAGCGACAGAAAAAGCACGAGAGATGCCGCCTGCCTGCAGCACGCCCCCCACGGACTGTGGGAGCCGCCACGCTCCAGACACAGCTCCGCTGCTCAAGGCTACGATCGGATTCCACTTCCTGCGCACCCCTGGCCGGCTGCCCTAGTGGTTTCGTGGGCGTGGAAGTTTTATTTTTCACTATAAATTGATAAATCTTTCATCAGTTTACTCATCAGTCTCTAGTGGGTTTGGTCCCTGTGTGTCAGTGCCTGGAACTACGTCACACCGTTTTTCCAGATCTGTAAAGTTGGTCACCACTGCCTCTTGGGCCCCCAAAGGCCCTGACTACCTTTTTGATCAATTGAGAAATCAATCTCCCTTGGGATGCCTGGGTGGCTCAGTCGGTTAAGTGTCCGACTCCGGCTCAGGTATTGATCTCACGGTTCGTGAGTTCGAGCCCCACTTCGGGCTCTGTGCTGACAGCTCGGAGCCCGGAACCTGCTTCAGATTCTGTGTCTTCCTCTGTCTCTGCCCCTCCCCTACTTGTGCTCTCTCTCTCTCTTAAAAATAAACAGTAAAAAAAAAAATTTTAAAAAAGAACAAAAAAAAAATAAATCAATCTCCAACCCCCTCCACCTTCAATGATTATGCTGAATCCTACTAACGCTTGGATTTATGTGAGCCTACAGTTTACAGATCTGAAAGAAAACTATCCCTAGGGACTCTGAAGCTGGCATTTGGCTGGAATACAGGTGCACAAATGCCCACTGTGGACAGACGGTCTATATCTCTAGGCACAGCTAACGTAAAAGAGAGAGCAAATTGCACCTGCCTCCCACACCACCCGGGGAAGGGCCGGGAGGAAGAGGCCCGTCTGTGTCCACCGACGGCCGGCCATACGGCGCCGCCCCTTGAGGAAAGAGGGCCTGGCCTGTCCCTCCTGGCCCGCCCAGTCCGTCGACTCCCACCCCGCCTGGCCCCCGCCAGCGCGGTCACCTGTCTGAAGAGCAGCTCCTGCTCGGTGGGCTGGCGCTGGCCCGGCTCTACCTCCCGCGGGGGCTCCGCCTCCTCGTCATCACTCTCGATGGGCTCCTGCTTCACTTGGACGCCGGCCAGAGCGTGTGCCTCCTTCTGCCCAGAGAGCCGGTCCAGGTAGGGCTCCTCCAGGAGGGCCTGGTGCTCACGAAGCTCCTCCTCCGTCTCCTCGGGATGGCTCTCGGGCTGCCGGGCCGGCTCGCTCTGTTTGGGGATAATCTATAAGGCAGAGGTAAGGGATGAGGGCCGCGGAGACGACGTGACAGCACAAGCTCTGTGCCTCAGAGCAAAGGGACGGACGACCTGGACGGATGCTGCCGGGCCTGAGCTGGAGCTGGCAGGCAATGCTTGTCCCCCAACACCCTGGGCGCCGGGCTGGCCGGGGAAGGAGAGCCCAGCGCCTGGCGCGCATTTGTTAACAAGCACCCGTGTGCCAAGCGCAGAGACGCGGGGTATGAAAGTCACGGCGGTCAAGCCAGGCTCCTGGGGGACCGGCGCCGTGGCTCCGAGAAAATGTGACCGTCTGCAAAGCCCCTGACTATGCTGCTGTGGAGAACGCTCCGACTCGGTTTCCAGAAGGGGAGAGGTTTTCGAGGATGCCTAACACGTTTTGGCCACCGCACGTTTGTACGCAAGTCCTCCCAGACCGCTTGCTTCACCACCCACACCACCACATTGTGGGTGTGACGAGGGTCGGACTGGGCGGACGCCTGTGTGCAAGTGTCAGTGTTCCGTGTGCTTGTCCCCAGGGCCCAGCCCTCCCAAGCAGCTCCCTGAGGCCCACGTGCCCACAGCCCTCAGAGGGCACAGCTAGGGGGTGAAGCGTGGACCCGCCTCTTACTGGACGAGGGTCCCGGACTCCCTCTCTGGCTTTCTCCGCTTCCTTGGGAAGTGAGGGCATCTGAGCAGAGGCCTCCAGGCCCCTCCAGGGGAGTCAAGCCATCCTGGGCTTCACGAGAGACAGCCCAGCTCCGTGAAGGATTCCCGGAGGCCGGATCGAGCGGCCCCGTTGTCCCGGGGAGCTCTGGGCAGGGGCAGGAGCACAGGCACCTGAGGTGCCGCCAACCCCTGGGGCGCAGGCCACCCCCCCGAGGCGGCCTCAGCCTCTCAGGCCGCAGCGCGGAGGGAGTTGGGAGGCACGTGGCCACAGCCGCAGACTCCCCGTGATGCAGGGGGCTTGTGCGGTCAGTGTCCTTGGGCCACGGCCGCGGCCAGAGGCCTGTCGCCGCCTTCGAAATGCAGCTCTGGGGTTGCTAGCCGGGCTGTGGGCGGGCGGCACAGTGGAGCCGACGTCGGGGGCGAGGCTCCCGCCAGCCAGCGCGCTGGCCGATCACTGTCGGCGACACGCAAACCAGCTGTGTCCTGCGACGCCCTCCGGACTCCAGGAGCCCCTTCCCCAGACGGCATGAGAAGAAACGCACGTCTGTATTTGGAGCGGGGCCCTTGCTAAAGCCAGACTACGGGTCGGGGGAAAAGCCAAACTGGTAGAGAGGCCAGGGCTGGAAGATGAGTGGGCGTGCCCCTGGTCGGACCGCCCCGACGGAGGACCCGGATGTCAGGGTCAGCGCCGAGAGCGCGGAGGTGAGCAGGAAAGTCCGCGGCGAGGCACGCAGCCCGACCCACGGGACCACGGGGCTCAAGCCGCGACAGGAACAGCCTCCCCCCAGCAAAGCCTCTGTCCTGCGGGGGCAACAGGTGCCCCGGAGCACCGTCCCCACAGAGGGGGGAGAGCGCGTCCCGCCACCGCATTTCCCACGTCACAGCGCCCAGACCCGCCAGAGGGCACACCCACACTCGCTGGCCTGCAGGGGGCGGCTGCCGCTTGCACAGCTCGAGGCTCCGCCACCCACCGGCGACATGCGTTCTCCAGAAAGGCCCTTCACCTGGCGGACCTTCACCAGACACCACGGCACACGAGGTGCCGGGCTCTCACAAGTGACGCTACTACGGCCGCAGAGCACCGGTGACCGTGTGCCGACCTCGGGCCAAAACAGGTGAGCACAGCCGGCTCCCGGGCGCGTCTTTCCTGTTCTCAGAGGCTCCGCCGCCCAGCGTTCGGTTCCCGTGGCGGCCCAGCGGTTCGGTTCCGTGGCCAGTGACCCTGGGAAGACTGGAGTAGCCGTGCATGGCTGCTCTCCCTAAGGGGGGGGCGTCAGTGAAGTGAACGCACTCGGAGGCAGGGGTTGAACGGGCCGTAGATCATGCAGGAAACGGCCACGATCCCCAACGCAGCCCGAGCAGGGCTGCGGGATGGGAGGTCTCAGGGCTGCTGGGAGCTGGGCCCTCGTGCCCTCGGGTAAGGAGCCCCTTAGGAACAGCGTCTCCCAGACGAAAGGCAGAAATACTGGTGCCAGACGGCACTAGACAACGTCGTCGGCTCCCCGAGATCCCAGGAGAACGCTGTACAAACATTTCAATCACCCGTCGTTCACGCTCATAATCAATCATGGAATAGAGTCTAGGGAGATTACCCAGTTTCTCAATCATTCTTTTCAAGACTGTACCAGGAGTGAATAGGTGTTTCCCGTCTTCCTAACACCTCCTACCCTATCAGTCAGACAGTGACACGATAAAATTGAGAAGCCATGGGTGGCACTGGGGAGACGAATTTGAAGTGGGGTTTACAGCTGGGAGCACAGACTGACAGCCTGTCTCGCCCACAGGAAGTAAGTAGGTGCCTTTCCTGTGCAGGGGAGGGCGTGCTGGCTGGCCCTACATGCTGGGGGGGGGGGGGGGGACAGCCCGTCTCCCACGGGGGCCTTAGCTCGGCCTGCACTGGGCATCTGGCCGTTCAGGGGCAGGGTGCCGGGGGACCGTGTCCCCACAACCCTGCAGCGGGGTCACACGGGCTGCATTCAGGCGGCTGGCGGCCGCCGTCTTCACGGGACGCTGACTGTTTCCGGTTTTGATGACCAGCACCACCACACCGAACTTCCCTATTTCCTGCCCAAACCCCCCTCTGTGAGGGACCTTCGGGACCGTGCGAGGGCGCAGACCCCGCGAGCAGGGTGTCCCGGCGGGCAGGCCCGCGCAGGTGCCGAGGGGCTCAGAAAGGCGGGTCTGCTTTGGGAAGAGGGGCGCCCAGGGAGCTCGGGGCCGCGGGGCCGCACGCGGATGCGATATGCACCCCCTTCCCCCCCCACCCCCCGCCGAACGCGCTCCGCCGGCCGCGCCCGCAGACCCACCTTGCTCATGTGCAGCTGCTGCTGGAACTGCTGCTTGTGCTTCTCCAGAAACTGCTGGTGCTGCTGCTGGATGACCAGGTGCTGCAGGGCCGGCGCGTTCTGGGGCAGCGGGGCCGACTGCGTGCGCCCCAGCGGGCGGTGCTGCCGCAGCTTGTGCACGGACGGGGACACGCGGTCCGCTCCCACCAGCGCCTGCGCGTGCAGGGGCAGCGCGCCCAGGCCTGAAAGACACCGTCGGAAGGTGACGCGGGGGCCCCCCGTGCTCCACCCTGAAGCCCGGGGCGCAGGCCGCCGTGAGCCGCCGGCGTGGGCTTCAGTGAGAAGGGGCCGCCGTGCGCAGGCGTTCCGAGTCACAGGTTCCGGAGCGGCCGGTCCGCCCGGCAGTGGCCCCACGACCCCTCAGACAGGCCCGGGCCCTAGAACGACTGGTTGCGGTCCGAGCGGCATCGCGGGGCCGCCGGAGTGGCTTGCGCCACACTGACCAGGGCTGCGGAGGTCCCGGTGGCCCGGCACGTTCTAGAAGACCGTGGAGACGGCTCTTCCCCTAACTGACCCAGAAACCAAGCTGTGAGGGAAAAATCCCTTCCTGAGGGATCAAATCCTTTAAAGGTCTCTTCAAGCGGTGACTTTATTCACAAAGGGGGTGTTAACACTTGTCACAATCCTGGCGCTTGCGGTCAGAATCTTCTACAAATGTCTGCAAAGGTGCTGCCTCCCCCCATGCCCACCAGCTGCTTCCCCTGCACCCGCACCTGGACTGAGTGTTCAAGATCTGGATGGATATGTGATCCTGCTGTAACGTGCATTTGAATCTCCTTTTAAAATGCACCCTGTGCAGGGGACACAGATGCCAAACCTTTTTTCTTCTGTAAACTTTCCACCCACCTGTACCTTCTCTTTTGCGAATTGTGGGCTTAGGTAGTTGACCATCTTTCCGGGGTTCTTTGGGCAAAAGTCTCACAAACCCTTCCCTGCTACTGGAAAACGGGCTGCCCCAGCGGTCCGAGCTGGATGCACACTAACCCACGAGGCTCAGGCTGAACCTGACGCGGGTCATGGTCCCCTGCCTGAGGGGGAGCAGCATGTACCTGACCTTGGCAGATGCCCGCCTCCCCAAAAGCACGGCCCTGGGAACTGCTCAAGTGGCCGGCCCCCCGACAGGCAGGCACACCTGCCCATCCCCCTCCAGGGGGGTCCCTGAGACCCCTGGGGTCACTGCAGCCTATTTGCCTTGTCCCTTCGTGGGCTGGAGATTGCAAAATTACAACCACAATTTTGTATGCAGACAGAGAGAGCAGACACCAGGAAAAGGTTCAACCCTCGCAAAGTTGTCCCTGATTTGCTTTTCAAGAAGTCAGCCAACTCCAGCCCCCTAAACTGCCATCGCCTTCTGTCCAGCTTGCTGTTTTCTGGGAGAAGTTATGTTAAATTCCATTATCTGCCTGGCTGCTAAGTTAAAGTTAGTAACTCAAACGCTAGACTGATTCCCTCTCAAGTTTCTAGAAGAGCTAAAAAAAAAAAAGAAAAGGTAAAAAAAAACCCATCATCCTAAGAAGGTGTTTCAGAATTCACCCACTGTTGACAGAGGTGTCGCAAGGATGAAAATTTGGAAGCCAGCCATACGAAGCTGCATTTATGGGACCAAAGGTGACATAGTCACCAAGAGGGTCGCGCCTCGGAAAACACAAAGCTAAAACAGGGTTTCCTGAGCAGCTGCTTCTCAGGTTCCGCAGGACACTGGGACAGCAGGGCCGCCGCGATCAGCGGGGCGGCCGCCCCAGGTTCCGCACAGAAGCTTCTCTTGGCTCTGCGGAAGGAAAGCAGCTTCCAGGGCTGACAAAGGAGCAGGAACATGCATGAATGTGAGCCTTCACACGGGGTGGACACTGCCCTGAGGACACAGGCCACTATCCCCATGGGGACATGGACAGACAGCGGGAGGACCCCGTTCTGGCCCGCCCCCACCCTTACCCTCTCTGGGCCCACCCCACTCACCCCAAAATTCACAATGGGCCCCCTGGGGCACAGAACTCCAGTGCTGTCCCACTCGGGGACTGGTCGCATTTCAGAAAACGGACTCCTAACCTCTGAGTGGCAAACCCATTACTGGTCAGGTGGTTTCCAATTCAGAACCTAAAGTTGACCCCTCAGGTCATTAACAAGGGCTTTTGATGACAGACCCTTATTTGGCTTTTGGTATATACAACGTAAAAGACTTCTATGCATAAAAACACACCATGTGAAGATCCAATTCTGTCCTGGGTGACCCAGCTGCCTGCAGAGGCCCGCTGTGCCCAGATGGGCACCGTGCAGGGACAGAGCCCGACTTGTGCCGCCCGGCGGACCCTGCTCTGGGCAGGGAGGACCGGGCTGCCGGGGGCCTCCTTCCCTGAGCACCTGGCGGGCTGGGAGACACTTCGCTCTTCCCGCCCACAGGGCTGGCGCAAGTCTGTCGGGGCTCCAGGACACGGACGACACCCGCCTGCCCCTCATGTTGGTCCTGAGAGAGGGACCGGGGGGGGGGGGGGGGGGGGGGCGCGACCGGAAGTCCACGCAGGACCGCACAACGGTGACCGCACAACGGTGATCACGTGGGAATCCCCAGCATTCGCTCGGCCATCCAGGTTGGCGAGTTTGCAAACAAAGGCACCACGTCCACATGCCCCAGCCAGTGTGGGGGTCAAGAGGGAAACAGGCGAAGAGTCTGGGTCCTGGCGCTCCGGACCCAGATCTGAGGTGCTGGCCTTGGTGCTGCGGGGCTCGGGTAAAGTAGGCGAATTCACACTGGTGAGTATGGCCTGTGCCCTTAGAAATCCGTATGGGGCATCCCACTGCCCCATGCGCCAGGGTGGGACTCTTTAAGGCCCTCCAAGTGACAGCCGGACAAGGCTAAGTTCTCGCCAGGGGTGTGCCAGGCTGCACATCGGCACAGCCTGAGCGCTGCAAGAAAATCCCTGCAGAGCAGGGGCCCACCTGGACCTGTCAGCTTCGCTGGAGCTCTGGGGGCCTGGCCAGGGTTGGGAATCGCGGGCCAGGCCCCAGGCGCGGCAGCCCCACGCGCCTCCTGGGAGAGGTCAGGTACCAAGGGGAGCGTGCCATCACTGCTGCGGAAGCCAGCTGCCGTCCCCGTGCTCAGAAGCACAGCCACGGGCAGACGGCCGGTTCCGCCAGCCCGTGGGGGGCAGCCCCAGCGAGTGACCTGAAGGCCAGAATGACCCCACATCCACCAGGTGCAACACCCGCTCCCCCCACCTGTCCTTCTCCCGAGACCCTCACCTGAGGCCTCAGCAATGATGCCACTTCTCCAGGAAGCCTTCCCTACGCCCTCCCTGCTGCACGGCTGAGCGTCCAGACCGACTACGGAGGACCAGCCCAGGGGAGACGCTGGGCTGAAAGCTGTGCCTTCCGGCCACACAGCAGGAGGCCCGGACAACACACGTGTCCTTCTCGCCTCGAGATGACGGTTCCATTCCCACCCGCTGCCTCGGGTGGTCGCTCAGAGGCCCAACCTCTGGGAGCGTATGAGGGCGCGTCACTCTTCTCAGGAGGAGATTCGGCTGGACGACTCCTGGGGCAGCGGGGAGCAAGGTAAGTGCCACACGGAGGTGGGACATCCCACGGACCCACTCGGGGAGGGACACGGCCCTGGCGCCCGTCCCCCCTCACCCCTCTGCATCTGCGGCCTCTGCTTCCAGTGTTCGTGAGACACGGCTATTCTGGCTCAGCCGTTCTGTCCGTGTGTCCGTCTGCCCACGAGCACTCACGGAAAAGCAGGGCCGCTGGCAGGTGAACCTGGGGACTGTCCCTGATCCTGCTCAGACACAAGCCACCTCAGAAACCCCGAGTGTCTCTCGCTTTGCCCCCAGAGACGTTTACCACGGGCCTGCGGCGCACTGCCCCCGTACAGGGGCCGGGAGAGCGGGGCGATGCCGTGGATGTGCAGATTGTCCTCCGCGAGGGAAGGTGAGCAGGAGGGGAGCGAAACCGAAGCGAAGCTCAGCAGAGCACACGGGAGGGGGAAGGGCCACGTCTGGCGGGGGCAGGGCCCAGGTCGGGACCAGGCCTCAGGACAGCCGGCTTGGGAGCCGGGCCTGCCGGGGAAAGGGCGGCCCCCTCTGGCGAAGAGGGAGCCACACCCCTGTGCGCCACACCAGAAGGGGAGGGCTCGCTCCTGTGCCCGCTGGCAGCCAGGCCGTCACGGCCGGCCGGCACCACCTGATAGGCCACGCTCACGTGCCCCGACAGCCACCAGCCACACGGGCACCCACCATGTCCCACGTGGGACTGAGAAACCAGACGGGTACTTTGCTTCTGGGTCTTAACGTCCACTTTAAACATCAGGAGCCACACGCGGCCAGTGCTCCAGCTCAGGACAGCAGTGCTCTGGGCGGAGAGGGCTTCTCAGGCCCTGAGGGGCAGGAAACCCAGGCAGGGGTGGAGCTTGGAGGGTGATCCCAGAGACCCGAATCGGGGCCAAGTTCACGGGGAGGGGGTTGGGAGGGGCCACGAGAACTGGGAAGAACTGGGAAGTAACCACCACGACCACACAACTAACACCTGAAGGGGGCTCACCAGTGTCAGGCCCATCCTGCACTAACACACACCTCACTTAACCCCGAAGAAACTCAGCAAGGCAGACACTCGCGTTACCCCTGTTTCACATACGGGGATACTGAGGCACGGCACGAGGGAAGACTTCCCAGGTCACTGAGCTGGGATGAGACAGAGACAAGACAGCCTGTGCTCTGGGCCACGGCCCTGCCTCCAGCACCTGCAGCCGGTGTCCGGGGGCCGGGAGGGGCCTGCAGGTTCGGGGGCGGGGAGGGCAGTGCTAGCTAACAGGTGCTGGACCAGAAGTCGTGCCCCAGCCAGTCTCACTGCCACAGGCAAGCCGTCGGCAGCTGCTGTCACAGAAAGGGCCACCGGATCACACACGAAGGGCAGAAGCAGCAACGTGGCCAATCACGAAGGAGTCAGGTTCAGCAAGTTTATCAGAGAGGTGAGATTTACCTAAGACTGTCATTCAAGTCCTGTGGGAAAAGGCTACTCCCCACAGTCAGTAGAGTGGCCGACTCTTGATCCCAGGGTCCTGAGTTCAAGCCCACCCTGGGCATGGGGCTTACTTAAAAACAAAAAACGTTACTTCACAGGAAGCTCAGGGATGTGCCCGAAAAATGCTCTTTAACGGTGGGTGACGAGCAGACGCTCGGGGACCGGGGGTCACAAGAAGGGTCGGCTGTAGGTTTACATAAATGATATAGGACAGAAACTCAGGCATCCTTCACTGCTCTTGACCCCGGGCCCTGACTTTGGGTGTCGCACAGACTCAGATGCGATTTCAGACGGAACCCTTGAGCCCCTGTGCTCATGACCCATCATCTGAAAGGCGGGGAGATGCCCAGTGACACTTCTACTCCCCCTCAACTCTGAAGAGGGTGGTGACCCCGAATTCAAGCACTGGGGGGCCCAGACAGAAAGACAGACACACACACACACACACACACAGATGGAAGCCCGCCGTCCACACGGACACACACAGAGGGCAGGATGGGCCCCTCACGCCCAGACTGGCCCCACGGCTCTTCAGGACCAAGTGCTGGAGAGAGACCGGTGGGCACAAAAGACATTCACCTGCCCGCGGCCCGCGTGGCCACAGGTCGGGACTCTGACCCGCTCGCACCTGCACTTCCCACCAAAGCGTCAAGGAGGTCATGTTAGATCCCAACCGCCAACAAATCAGCAGACCTCCAGGGAGCCGAGCGTGAGGCTGGGTGCTGCAGACGAACAGCAGGTACTTCCCTGTTCCGCAGCAGACCCCACACCTTCGTCCCTCCCAAAGGAACAGTTGCCGTGCAAACCTCCGGCCCCATTTCCTGACTTATTCCTAAGTGTGAGCGTCCCTTACGCGGGGCACACGACAGACGTTTCCGCCACGAATGGGAACTGACGATCTACCGGGGTCGTCCCCCCTCATCTTGACCCAGATGAAAAAGCGGACGGGAGAAGCCGTCTCTCTGAAGAAGCTTCCAGAAGGTCTAAGCGACACCTGCTTTTACTCTGTCTACCTCGTTTTGTAAGTGAGACTCGGTTTATCGACTCCCACGCCTTAACACGGGAGAGGCCGTGGCTAGAAATTCGGGGGTGCGGACGGGCCTCCCTGCTGGGCCCCGAGCCAACCGTGCTCACCTGTGACGAGGGGCGTCTGCGTAGGCGGCTGCTCCAGTAAGACCATGTGCTGTAGCAGCGGGTTGTGTGAAGCCCCACCGTCCCGCTCCAAGGGCGCCGTGCTCAGGTAGGGGGTGAGGTGCGTGCCGGGAAAGAGGGAGATCCGCTGCTGGAGGGCGGGGAGAGCGAGCCTGTCGGCCTCCTGCGGACCTGCCGTCCCCTGGAGAGGTACAACTGTGACGCCCGGGGCCGAGGGCCCGTGACGGCCCCCCGCCCCCGCTGGCCACGCAGACCCGCCGACGCCTACTCACAGCGGAAGGGCCAGTGGCGGGCAGTCCCAGCGTGATGTTGGGCAAGGACGGTGACGTGTAGAGGGGGAGCGGGGCCACGGAACCTTCTCGAGTCACGAGCCTGTGGGCCAAGCTGGTCTGCAGACAGAACACATGATGGCCGTCACACACAGTCTGCCAGCGACAAGCGTGGGCCACAGACACCACGAGAAGCGACAGCTGAGGGCGCCTCAGGGCAGGCCACGCAGAGTCCCGAGACGCCACAGCACAGAAACACAGTGACAGGTTGCAGCACAGAGGTGGCACAGAATCTCGAAGCAGGTCACAGGCCCCGAAACATGGATTCACAATCCATGACGCTCTCGTTTTTATTCACACTGTTTAATCATCGTAGACTATCAGGAAAATCTAAGATAACGTCTTATAGAATACGTTCTTGGTTGGGGATGTCATTTTATTTTTTTTATTTTATTTTTTTTTTAAACGTTTATTTATTTTTTTGGGACAGAGAGAGACAGAGCATGAACGGGGGAGGGGCAGAGAGAGAGGGAGACACAGAATCAGAAACAGGCTCCAGGCTCTGAGCCATCAGCCCAGAGCCCGACGCGGGGCTCGAACTCACGGACTGCGAGATCGTGACCTGGCTGAAGTCGGACGCTTAACCGACTGCGCCACCCAGGCGCCCCGGGGATGTCATTTTAAATATAACATCAGAGGCAGAAACCAGAGAAGATATTGATTAAAAAAAAAAAATCCCTTTTGGGCGTCTGGGTGGCTCAGTCGGTTGAGCATCCGACTCTTGATTTCAGCTCAGGTCATGGTCGCACGGTTGTGAGATTGAGCCCCGCGTCGTGCTCCATGCTGAGCCTGCTGAAGATTCTCTCTCTCTCTCTCTCTCTCCCTTTCTCCGCCCCATCCCCTCCCAGAAAAGGCAAATAATAAACAATGGTCACGGCAATATGGGCAACATGTAGGACAGAGAAAGGTAACTATGTAAAGAGCTCACAGATCAAATAATAATTAGCAAAAGTGCTCGTCAAAGGCAAATGACAAAGAACCAGTATTACGGGAGAACTCCTGAAAAAATTACTCAAAACCATCAGTAATCAGAAAACATGTTTAAACACCTATCAAGTTGGCAAAGATTTTTAAAAAGAGAATACTCTCTTGGCCCCGAGGAACAGAAACACGCTGCTGGGCGGGTTTATCAAGCGGTGCACTCTTTCTGCAGGAAAACTGGGCAATCCGTGTCCAAAGCCTTAAAAATTTATCTAACTTTTGATCCTAAAACTCCACTCTTCGGGTGGCTCTTACGAAACGGTGCTGGGCAAAACCAGAGACGGTCCCAGGAATGTCGTGGCCGCGGTGCCCACGGCAGGGAAGGGCAGCATGTCCGTGTCCCGGGTGGAGCGAATGAACCACACTTATGCACCGGGCCCTTGGGAGGCCGGGAAAAATCTGGATTGGTTGGAGTCCCACCGATGATGCGTTGTTAGGCTGGAAAAACAAGGTATGGGATGGTCTGCTCGTTCAAAAGCAGACAGTGACGGCTGGAAGGACAGACAGAAAAGGGGGAGTGGGAGCATTCTCTGAGGATCTGAATTACCGTGCTATTTAACATCTTTTTGCTTCTAGAAAGAACATTCTTCCCTCCAAAGGATGCTGTTTTGTTTGCCGCAACGCAACGCCCCCTGTGGAGTAGGTACCTGGTCAGTGTGCCGAACCAGGGAGCAGACAGACAGAAGGAACAAAGGACTTGGCCACCAGGCCGGCGAGTGGGAGGCGGCAGATGGAGTCTGTGAAACGGAGTTTCACGTAACGAGAAAATCACTGGAGTGATGGACGTGTGACCGTCTCCTCTTAGCTCCTCTCGCAGTGGGGCACGTAACTAACGATGAGAAACGTCCGGGTGCCTTAAAATGTCACATCCGAAGGGAAAATTGTGCGCTGAAAGCTATCATCAAGTGGCCGTACGTGGGGGTGCACCGGGTGCCGGCCAGGGGAGGAAACAGCCTCCTCATCTGCTGGGGGTTGGGGGGGTGGGGAGGGGCCGCCTGCGGCTTGCCTCGGAGACGCTGGGTGTGGTCCCAGACACCACAGCACCAGTCCGTGAGCTCACTGGTCTCCCCGTGCGCGTGAAAGTTGTGTTTATGAGACACTGTAGTGTGTCAGATGTGTTAACAGCTTCATGTCTACAGGAATGTACAGACTTGAGCTAAAACGTATTTTATTGCTAAACAATGCTAACCATCATCTGAGCTCTCAGTGAGTCAGAATCCTCTTGCTGGAGGAAGATCTTGCCTCGATGTTCACGGCTGCTTGGTGGTTGTGACAGTTTCCTAAATTAGTCAACAACGAGGTTGGTCTGGTACATCAAGTGACTCCTCCTTTCGTGGACGATTTCTCTGTGGCACGTGATGCCGTTTGACACCATTTTACGCACAGTAGGAATCGTTCGACACCGGAGTCCGTCCTCTCAAACACAGCCACGGCTCTATCAGCTAAGTGTATGCATCTTCCAGATCCTTTGTGGTCACGTCAACAGTCTTCACGGCATCGTCACTGGCGGCAGATTCCGCCTCAAGAAACCACTTCCCCAAGAAGCAACTCCTCCTCCGTTCAAGATTTCCCCCAAGACCGCGGCCACACATTCAGTCCCGTCATCAGGCTCCGCTTGCAATTCTGGTTCTCTTGCTGTTTCCACCCCATCGGCAGCGACTTCCTCCACGGAAGGCTGGTGTCTTCGGTTCGTAAGAAAGGGCAACACCTGTGATGCGCGATAAAGAGACGTGTGCCTGTACCGCTTCACGGCGTGTGTGTGCAAATATCCGTAACTCACAGGATCCCTGAGGTGCTGTTTAACGCGGTCGTATTTCAGCGTCCTTTGGAAACACACACACCTTATGGTCTGTTTGGACGCCATGAGCGCAAACCAGGAAGGAAAGCGTTTTTCGCGCAGGGGCGCCTGGTGTATCTTGTCCTGGAGAGACCACAGGGCTACAAAGCATTCGCTCACCGTGACCCTGCACAGTCACGAGCTGACGACCACCGTGGAAAGCGCTTTTCCCAGACAGAAAAACCGTTGGTCCAAGTAGAAGAAATACCGACATGCTGTGCCGAGGAGAACATGATGGAGACGGCCAAGGAAAGCAGGCACCACCGGGCTGTAATCACCCAGGGACGAAACGAGCAAACGTCCCAATGTCTGCAACGTTATAATTTCCTCTTTATAATCACTCTATTTTTTTTTTTTTTTTTTTTTTTTTTTTTTTACCTTATTTATTTTTAGAAATAACGCAGCCTTCTGAGAACTGCTCGGAGGCTGACTGCCCGCGTGCGTGACGCTGGTGGTCTCCGTCCGTGGGGCGACAGGATCATCAGCTCCCACGCGCTCCGCACAAAATCGGAGCCTGGTCTCACGCCCGCTTCACGCCGGGCCTTCTGGGCTGGAGGGAGCTGCCTTTCCAGGCCCGGGGCGCCTGCTTCCACCGTGTGTAGGCCGCGGACCTTGTCCCGGCCCGGGGCCCCTGGCAGAACAGCAGTGAAAGGAGGCGCTCCAGCGAGGACCCACGTCGCCCTGCGCCCGAGGGGCTGCAGCCAGCGGGGGCGTCACGAGGCCTGCGAGTTCTCAGGAGAGGTCAGCTTCTACCAGCGCCCGAAACCCCCAGAGGCCCCCCAGGTGGACCTGACCGTCAGAGGCCACCCCTGCCCACCAGAGGGCGGTAAACGGGATGGCCCTTTCCTATCGGTGAGTCTGCAGCAGCTCAATTTACATGAACACGGGACTTGTACTTCAGCAGGGGCAGGGGGAGACCTGGGGGGGTGGGGAGCGGAGGAGCCAGCGCCAACCTTAGCTCTGCCGCGTGCTTGTGCGCACGGGTGTCTACAAACAGGGGGCGGAAAGGCTCAGCCCTGGCGCCCATATACCCCGAGTAAGATCTGTCAACCCTGCGGGAGGGGAGGACTCGTTGCTAAATATCTAGGGGGAAAGTTAAGTGACTACGTGTACTCAACTGTACCCTCCTGTAAGTCAGCAGGAACTCAAAAAGAACTCAGAAAGACCTCCCACTCGGTGGGGCCGTCTGCGGCATGAAGCAGACGGCGCTTCGGGCTCCGTTCTCCGTGAACTCCGCAGCGAGGCGGCTCCCCACGCAGGGCGCCCCCTGCCGGTGGCCTCGCTCAATAGCGTGAAGCTCCCCTGCTCTTCCTGGGCACCGGCCAGAGCCTGCCTCTCCCAGGCCGCACAGCCTGCTGTGTGGAGGCAGGCTGCTGGCCGGCCCTCTGGCCCTCTGGCCCCTGGGCCTGGTGCAGGGCTGGCCCGAGGTAGGCGCTCCAGGGACACTTGTGCAGTGAGCAGCTGGGGCAAAGAGAACGAGGTAGAAAAAGAAAGCACGGAAGGAAGGTCCTGGAAACCACTGCCCGGAAAGTCACCCAGGTCTGGTCAAGGGCACAACCGGCAGCCAGCCCCGGGCCCCTTGTCTCCCCTGGAGCACCCGTCCTCTCTGCCAAGTGCCTCCAGAACCCTCTCTGTGCCCACGCCCCTCTCCACCTGTGGCACAGCTGGGGGCGGGGGCCTGACCATGTGTCTCAGGCTGGTGGTTAGTTACCCAGGCGCCTCCGAAACGCCGGCTCTGGGGTTCCTGACCACCTGCCCATGCTACTCTGCTCCCCCACGACACACGGATGTGTGTTTGTTGGCTGACGTTTTAACCTGTGTATTTCTAAAGCACAACAAACACTTTGATTCTCTTCCAACAACGGTTCTCGGCCACCGTGCAGAGCCCCAGGGGTACACAGCAGCGAGGCATCTAGGACCCCACGGGCCCACGCGTCTGTGTTCTGAATCGGCCGGATGGAACGTGCTCCGAAGGAGGCCAGGAGGAAAGGCTGGGTTCGGAGCTGCTCTCCCATCTGGACACGGGGCTCACGTTTGCAGGAGAAGCAGTGGTCAGTGGCAGGCAAGAGGGATGAAGTCCCAACGGTGCCCCGTCCAGGGTGCCTCCCGGCCTCAACCGTCCGGGCCGAAGGGCACCCGCAAACCTCGGTCACCTCGAGGGAACCAACCATCTGAATGCGCCAGGCCGGCGCAGGGAACAGAAAGGAACGGAAAGCCCGCACTGACCTCGGCGGGGATGCTCGCGACGGCTGGCGCGATCCCGTTCTCGGTGCTGACATTCCCGGAGCTGTTGTTGGGCGAGCTGGGCGCGGAGCCCGGGGCGCTGCTGCAGGCCGAGTCTGTGGGGCGGAGAGACATCCGTGAGCCACGCTCCGCGCAGAGGCTCTGGGCGAGGCCGTGGCAGGTGCCCACCCGGGCCTGGGCGCCGAGGGCCTCCCGGGGACTTCTGCTTCCCACCTGCTGACCGGCACAAGTCACATCATGAAAGAGCCTGACCACGGTCCCCGAACAGGGGCCGTGAGGCTAATTCCCTATTTTTGGTTTTGCTACTGACTTCCTGGCGAGCTCTGCACACGTACGGCTCTGTGGAGGCCCCGCCTGAGCCTTTTAAGCTGCGCACGTTACCGACTTTATTCCTCTTGAACCTCGAGATGATCCACTACACCAAAAAGATAAGCCCTTAAATGCTCAGTAATAACCCGACAACAGGAGACCGGGAACCACAGAGGCCGAGGAACTCTGAATAGGGAGAGGTCAGATTTACCGCGCTCGCTAGCAAAGCCACGGGCCGCCGGGCTCCTTTGGAACGAAAGCCTCTCGCTTTTCCTGGGCGACATCAGACGCCCAGGGCAGGTGCCGCCCTGGTTGCTGTGACTGGTCGGGGTTCCCTGGAATCGCACACTAGTTTATCCTGCAAGTGACTTTCAAGGTACGGGTGGGTCCGCCCTGCCAATCGGGCCCAGGCTTCACGGCGACTTGCCTGAGACCGGGGAACGTGCTCACCCTGCCCCCTTCTCACCGCCACCGGAGCCGCCGTGCCACCGGTGTCTGTGGGAGCGTCTCTTCAGTTCTCTCTGCTTTCTTGTGTCGTGGGCATCGTAACAACGGCCTCACCACGGACTGTGACCTCTGGGGTCCCTGGCCGTCTCGACCGGCCGGCCATCGGCCCGGCGACACCCGCTCGGGCTCGCCGCGGCAGCCTGGCCACGGTCAGGCCTCCCAGACAGTGACGTGAGCTCAGACCGGGTCCCTGCTGCCCCCACACCAAATCCAGGGCTTACTTCTTCACTGGGGGTCACGGCTCCTTATACGTCACGGGACTGGGAGCCGCTGAGAAGGGCCCGGGGGGAAGAACTGCTACACTTTGTGCACAAGGCAGAGCCGCCTCCTCCAGGCCTCCTGGCCC